CAAAATTAAAAAATCACATAGAACTCTTAGAATTGAAAACATCAACTAAAAAAAACTTCTTAGTATAAGGACCCCCCAATGAATTCCTCCAAGAATTTAGTAAAATTGGAAATGTTATAAGCCAATTAGCTTGTTTCCATTTATTAGACAAAAATTTAAAAGCTTGTTCTTCTTCCTTTTTGTAAATTTCCAGGAAGCTTAAACACATACTCACAAGGTAATTACAAAAATTATTTTTCCATTGCTTTAAATCAATTTTATTGTTTTAAAACTTGTTTAATGTCCTTTTTATAAATTACTTTTAAAAAGAGGATAAATAAAAAATGCAAATAGAAATACTCACTGTTCTACACTGGTCTATTTTTCCTGATAAAATCTTCAATCCTTCCAATACTATCAACCCGGCAATCACTGCATTAGTAGTAGCGATAGCAGGAATGATGTTCCCTGCCATTGCTGGGAAAAAAAAAAAGATGAGTATGTTTAGCTGTTACAAAAAAACAACTTTGTGATTTCAGTGATGCAAGTGAAGTACAAACAACTTACATTTTATATCAAATCTGCTCTTCATATTCATACTGAAAATATGCATCCTGAGGTTTGCCGCAGAGGTGACAAAATCCATAGCAGATGGATCATCCTGCCAATAATTTAAACAATTTAACAAGTTACTCCCCCACAAATTACTGTTTTGATTAGTACTTCTTTCAGAACAGTACTTTCCTGTGTTTATAACATTACAGGCTGTCAACTAGAACAAAAGGTGGTCCTGAGGGAAAGGCCAGTCAGACAGGGCCTTAAGGAAGCATGGAGGTTGACTAAATAGGGGGCAGGGTCTCATCAGCAGCTTCTCTGGTCCAGGAATGCAGTCTGACAAGGACACCAAGAACCACCAGGCTTCTAGGAACTGACTCCTGCTTAAACAAATGCACTGGAGACTAAATGTGTACAACAGAACATTGATCCCACCCACTGATGACAGGAACCCCGTCCTGGAACCATTCATTAGTAATAAGAAGGTTGCTGGAGAAGCACAGAATCCAGACAAAAAGACAGACACACTTTGAGAAAGCTATTTCATTAAAGCCTCAGAAAAACCTGATGACTCCTTTGAGCTCTCCTTCTCCAAACTCTTTATATACACCACTTCTTCAGATAAGGAAACATGATCCAAGTTTTCCCTTTACAATTTGCATTTTTCCTGAGACTGTATCCTCGTTTCTTTAGATGTCAGTAAGGTTTCCTGCTTTGAACTGAGAAGATCCTAACCTGGTCTAGAATTCAGAAACATCACAGTATAGAACAAAAGCACTGACAGGATGTGGGTTCTTCATACACTTACTGGTTGGGTGTGAAAACTCAGGCAAGTCAACTTCCCTGAATAAAAACCCCTTAATCTGTTAAATGGGGGAAATTATATCCACCATCTCTTAAGGCTGTGGTGAGGACCAAGTAAGAATACTTAACAGTACCCAGGTCCTTCCCTAGGCAGCTGGCTTATCACATGCATTAGAGGTAGACTCGACTCAAGAGGGCAACAATTCCCAGTTTCTAGGTTTCTTTATTTAACGCTTGTATACTAACAAAAAACTTGTCGAATCACTAGTATAATAAAAATATGGAAAAAGTTACCCTTTATATCACATAAACTCCAAGACTAATGTTTATAAGAATCTAAATTCACTAGCTTCATTTTAGATGTCTGATTCAACCAAAGTTTCAAAATTTGTGTACAGTTATTGCAGGTTTCTAAAATTGGCAAAACTCTTTTCTTTTACTTTAAAACCCATGATAAATCTTTACCAGCATAGGAAAATATAAACTTTATCTGATAAAACACTTTTAGCCATAGAAAATACTGACTATAATTAAGTAAAATTAGTATCAAATCTCAAAATATGACATCTAACTACAGAGTGCTATTAATTTTTTCTTAACTTCTAAAAATTATATCTTATTTTTGTATTTTGAGCTCTGTCTCTCAGACCTCTGAAATAGTTATAGCTATTTCCATATAAAGGCAAGTTTATTACTTTCAAGGTCAAATAGGGCCAATGAGATGCTGTCTCCAAAAGGATCTATGACTTCTATTAACACATCTATAGTATAAAAGAAGTTTAAGTCTATTTTCTTAAGTCGGTGAAACATTTTACTTTAATAAATTCACATTCTTTCCCCAGTCAACATAATTATAAACTATGAACACATTACAAGAATCCAAAATGAAGCTTTGTGATACTGACTGAATGAGTGTATAGAAAATTCACAGTGCAATATACCAACCAGTTAGAGATGAAAACCAAACAAAATTCAATAATTTCCTCAAAATCTATCAGAAGAAACAATATCCAAAAAAAGTACTAGCTTCTATTACAGCTTAAGAACATACATTTGATAAGTAAGTACTTGCCACATACTGTAAAAACGAACCTTGTCCCATATGAGCTCAGCTCCATCTCCCTTTTCTGCTAAATGAACTCTCAATGTCTCAATGCTCTTTGAAAAAAGACTTGCATAGCTCTTTACATCTAGAACCTGCTGGTCTTTCAGGCCTAACTGGGGTTCATTTTGTTGATCTGATGCATTGCTTTCTTCTCCTAAGGGAAAAAAATATTAAAAACTTCACTAATAAACATCATTCCACTACTGTGTTCCATTTAACGAATTCAGTCCCCGACCCATAACAAAATCAACGAACATGAAACAAGTTCCATTAAAGTAACTATCACTATAATACAAGCGTCTGTGTAAGAAAACTGTTAAAATTCATACGGGAAAGGTACAAGACCACCTCAGGTCCTGACAGGATTAAGGGATTCAAGGATATAATGTAGATAAGATAAGCATTATGCCGAGCACACAGTTAGCACTCAAAAAGTGGAATCTATTAGAGTTATATTTGAATGTCTTAGAAGAATCCCATATTGTTGAGAACTGCTCCAAAGTGAAATCCCAAGTCTCCTGGGATCTTTTCAGTTCGTTTGCTCTGCAACATTAATTGTAATACGGTTCAAACAAAATAGACACACAGTGTGTTGAGGGGGAGTGGGATAAGGAAGTAGTCACTACAATAGTTTTTTTCCTGCAATTAAAATTTTAAAATGTGCTGGGCCTGGTGATGTAGGCCTGTAGTTCCAGCTACAGGGCTTAGGCAGCAGGACTGCAGGAGTTCAGGGCTGCAGTGCGCTGTGTCTGTGCCTGTGAATAGCCGCTACACTCCAGCCTGGGCAACACAGTAAAACGCTGTCCCAAAAAATATTTTAAAAAATTAATGTAAATGTGTTTCCAAATTCGATCTTAAAGAGATAATCACAAGAATACAAAGACGTATATGTATATATACACACTCATCACAATGCTCATCACATATGCTCGTATCAGGAAAAATATGAAACAAATATATGTTACTTGATAGGCGATTAGTTAATATTGACTGAAAAAAGTCAGAGTACATGAATGGTATGATTCTATTTACGTAAAGTGTATACATGACTGTGTCTGCGTGCGTAAAACTGACCACCAGGCGTGGTGGCTCACGCCTGTGATCCTAGCATTCTGGGGGGCCAAGGAGGAGGATCACTTGAGCTCAGCAGTTCGAAACCAGCCTGAGCCAAGAGTGAGACCCTGTCTCTACTAAAAATAGAAAAATTAGCTGGGCTTCCTGGAGTGCACCTCAAGTCCCAAGTCCCAGATACTTGGGAGGCTGTGGAAGGAGGATCGCTTGAGCCCGGAAGTTTGAGGTTGCAGTGAGGCATGGTGACAACACTGCACTCTACCTGGGGAGACAGAGGGAGACTCTGTCTCAAAAACAAAAAGACCCCAACCCAACAACAAAAAAAACCTCACCATCAGAATATTCCCTAAAATGGTAACAGTGGCTATTTCTCTGAGTGATGGGACTTCAGTGATTTTTCTTCTTCACACTTTCTTGAATTGTTTGAATGTGTAACAAATACATACCATTTTCCAGAAACAGTAGGGTTATTTACAAAGATTTTAGGTGAGGGTATTTCCAGTTTAGGTATCACAAGACTAAAACGTATTCTTTACCTTGACTTTGTACTTCAGCCCAGTCCAATGGAACTGGAGGTTTCCTTTTCCGCCACAGTTTGTCCATCGTCAATAGATACCTGATATCATCTTTAAAAAGCTTAAAAAAAAAAAGATGAATCCCATGAACCCTACAATCCTTAAGTTGATAAAATATAAGAAAATTTCATTGCTTATTTATTTAATACTATAAATATTACACTGTGAAATGTGATTTAAAGACAGATGTCACGGGCCAGTAGAACAACAATTTTCAAAAGCAAAACCATTTGTAAAGGAAATTTTACACAGAATCCCTACATTTAAAAAAGTTAAAAGCTGAAGTGCTCTGAGGAGTGCAGAGCAAGAGGGCTCTGAGCTGTGCTGACTGGCCCCGCCCTCATTAGTCACCCCGCAAGTCCTCCTAAAACTCCAAACGTCAGTCTAACACACGGTCATACCAACTAAAGAGCTCAATAAACACATCAACCCCACAAGAAGTGACTGTAATCAGTGAAGGGAGATACCGGCCAGCAGTATCTCCAAGATCGCGGGTGCATGCCAACAAAGCATACACATTCTGAAAGTAAAGTCCTCAACAACATTATTTTTGAACTGACACATCTTTGAAATATGCCCTCCCCCCACAAAAAAACACCCACAAATGCCAAAAAATAAACAAACCAAATAAGCAAAGTTAAACATTAAAAACCCCAAACAAAAATTACCACAAAAACACCACCACATGTAGACTGAGTGAACCAGAACATGAAAGTGTGTGGTGGAATTTCAGGTGATTTTAATATTTGTACTTTTTCCCTCATCTGCATTTTCTATTGATCAATTTATCCAGCACATTTGCTGCAGGTACCAGGTAAGAATCTAGATTTGGCTAAATTTAAAAAATTATAACTATTTCTATTGAAATATACTCAATTCTGTCAATATCTACTGAGCATCCTTAACCTTTGGAAAACAATCCAAATACATAAATAATTAGAATACAACTTAGTGTTAAAATCACAAAGCCTTGAGTACTATGAGGATTTTTGTTTTATCTAAGAAATAAGGAAAGAGTACAAAGAGATAGTTAACGTCTGAAATGGGTACACAAGCAAGGAGATTAAGTCCGTTACGATTTGGGTAACAAATGTGACTGGAGACATTTTGAAGAGGTATTTGAATGCTTGAACCAGCAGTTTTCTATGCATAAGCTCCACGCCTTTCTCCTTTATTCAACTACTACTACATATCAGGCGTCCTTCAGATTCTGCACTGACCCATCTTCTGACTCGATCCTCTACCATGTCCACTTCCGTTAGTTAAACCAGAGCTACAAACCTAATCTCAACCCCATGCCTAGTCTAAACCTCTCTGCTTACCTTATGTTCCAAAAGAACCTCGAATTAGTTTAAAACTGACTGTATCACCTTCGACCCCCTCAACCCCTACATACACATGCCTTTGCTGAAAGAGGTTTCTCTCCAACAGAAAGAAAAAGATAAGAGTTTACAGTGAAGCGGGACATTCTCTTAACAGGTAAATTGTGCCCAGTGGCTTCAAGCCTATTAACATATCCTTAAGGTCACATGCTCAGTGATGGTGACAAGAGTATATATGAGGCAGTTTAAGAAGAGCTGAGAAAGTTTTAAGTATCTACTGTAACAAGCTTGCTAAGTAAGGAGTCGAGATAGAACAAATAAAAAGACTTTTAAAATACAGACCTGAGGGGCCTAGCAGGGCAACAATTAGGTAGACCTACTCTTGCAGATATCTCTAGAAATATTCAGTAGGCAAATAATATATACCGATGAAAAGGGATTTCACCAAGAACATGAGGCTTAGGGATGCCAGGGCAACTCAGAACACATCAGTCACACTGACAATGAAGATCCAAGCGGGAAAGGGGTAAAAGTGAAGAGGAGAAGCAGGTAAAGCAAGAAGTTCTGTGAAAGTGAGGGAATAAAAGACAACCAAGAGGTACATAAAGAAGCCTCTGCATTTTACTTCCTATAAAGATGCTACACTGGTATTTAGTACCGGTGCTAAAATTTCAAAACCTGTTTATCCTGACTACAACAATCATTTTATTAGGAAGGCATTAGGCGTATACAAAGAAAGAAGTTTAATTCAATTTTATGTACTATTTTAAAACAATTCAAATAATAAATCTACCCACAATTATAAGGAAAGCAAACCCAACCTTGGTAAAAAGTTTAATTGGATCATATCCAGTTGATTTAGCCCATTCCTTAGTGGAAATACGTTTAATGTCACCATCTTCATTAGATGCTCTGGCTCTGGCTTCAGCTTCTGTTGGTTCCCCTACAAAACAAACATTTTATTTTCAACTGCAATAAATGTAGAACTGAGCTCTCACTCACCTTTACGGGAAAAAAAAAGGGTCACTCACGGAACTCACCCACATGTGACACATTCCAAATTCAAGGAGGAAGGAAAATAACATGCTTATCAGCATCTTCTTATACCTAATTTCTGAAGGCTACACATGTAACAGTTCAAAGTGCAGACCTATCAACAGATCTAGAATCTACTCCCAGCTCCATTTCCTAGATTCGTGAAATTTTTCTTCACTTTCACTTCCTCACCAGTAAACAGGACTACACTTTTTATGTAACATTGCTTTAAAATGAAATAATTCATGTTAAGCACATATTATCTAGCACATACAGCAACTAGTTTTTTCTCTTAAGCTATCAATATTAAATTAGCAAAATAAAGGCAGTAGTCACTAAGAAAACGTATGTCAAATAGTTTAACTCACAGGCAGCTTCAGGGTCAGCTCTGTCAGGAGATACTTCTTGATCAGCATCCTCTTCCCCAAACAACTGGCTATAATTTAAGAGTAGTAAATATTTATGTACAACAAAGCATTCTGAACAAATGTGGTTTATTTTTCCTACTTTCCTCACAAACACCTAATGTAGCATATTCTAAGTGTTTAGCAGGGATAAAGAATGAACAGTTGATAAATTATAAACCTAACAGTATTAAAGCCTGTCTTTAAGGGAAAAAAAAAATGCTTGCATTAAAGTATATGGATGACAAATGATGGGAGCCAGGTTTCTGACTGTTGGAATGGCAGTTGACACATAAGGAAGGGGAGGAAGCCAGAATGATCCATGTAGTAATCGATTAAAGCTGGAGACACTGATATAAACTCATGTTTAGTTTCCCATATGGATGGTTAGAAAATGAAACATTCATAGATAGGTACATAATTAGAATAAACATTTATTTTTTGCTCTGTCAACTAAGAGGGCCTAAGATGACACCCGAGCAGTATGCCTGAGCACCCAGATTTTGATTTCTCATACTATTCTTCAATAAAAGGAACCAGGGCTCCTTGCAGAAGTGGCTTATACTAGGCCTGGGGCAGAAAATACACAAGACGGTCTGGAGCATCTTGTATTACCAGAAAATAAGGAACTGTTCCAAAAAAAAAAAAAAAAAATCACATTGATGGGAGTGTCAAAGAGCACAGAGCCAACTAAAAGAGCTCCCAATAGCCAAAGCTAGAAATACATGTAATATCGGTGAGTCCATATTGATATAAATGATTGAATAAATAATGAATAAACAGAGGAGAAACAAATCTCCCAGGCGGAAGAACTCCAAATAATTTATGTAGCTATTCTGCCCTCAAGGAAGTAGAACACAACTTTCCAATCTTTAGGTACGGGATGCCCACAGTGACCTCCTTCTAAAGTGTGCAGTGCAGTATGGAAATGGGGTAAGAAAAAAAGAAGTAGCTTTACAATGGAGAAACCTGACAAACACTACCTCGGCCAGGTGATCAAAGCCATCATCAACAAAGCATGCTGATATCATGTACTCTTGATATGATGTGATGAAAACGGCACCTCTGTGGTCTTCCTCCCAATAACCCATAAGCCCAGTCCAATTATGAGAAAATATCAGACAAATCTCATCTCCAGGTATCCTACAAAATACTTGACCAGTACTCCTCATCAAAAACAAGGAAAGTCTGAAAATCTGAGAAACTGTCACAACCAAGAGGAGCCTAAAGAGACATGACACCTGGAACAGAATTAGGACATCAGGTAAAATCTAAGGCAATCCAAATAAATTATAATAATAGTAATGTATCAATATTGGTTGATTGGCAATGCATACATCATACTAATGCAAAATGTTAATAACAAGGGAAACCGAGTAGGTGGATACATGGGAACTCTCTGTACTATCTTCTCAATTCTCTGTACATCCAAAACTGTTCTAAAAATTAAAGTATATTAAAAAAAAGATTTGCCAAATAAAGATTACAAGTCTATTTTTTGTGAAAATTTATCAAATTCACACTGCTATGTATACTTTTCTCAGTGCACATATATTATACCTTAATCAAAAATTAAAGACAGGCCAGGTGTGGTGGCTCGCACCAGTAATCCCAGCACTTTGGGAGGCTGGGAAGATTCCTTGAGGCCAGGAGTTTGAGACCAGCCTGGGTACTTAGCCTCCATCTTAGACTCTGACTCTACAAAAAAATTTTTTTAAATTTAGCTAGGTGCAGTGGCACATGCCTATAGCCCCGGCCACTTGAGAGGCTGAGGCAGGATTACTTGAGTTTGAGGCTGCAGTGAGCTATGATGACCACTGCACTGTAGCCTGGGCAACAGGGGGAGACTCTGTCCCACCCCCCCCAAAAAAATTACTAATTAATGTTCGGCCTTTTCTCATGTATATAAAACCTATAAATTTTTTTCCAACTACCATATTCAACGCATGGTAAAAGTTTCAGGTACAGTATTTTCACTATTATTACTAAGTATTTTAAATTTCTACTGTAATTTCTTTTTTAACCAATGGGTTATTTTATATTTTCATCTTTCCAAATACACAGATCTGTAGTCACTTAGTTACATGTCTATTTCCAATATCAAACTAAGTTTCCTAAATAGTCATGGCTGAATTTAATTTAACCCAAGAAATACTACAAGAAAGTTACTAAAGTATCTCCTCACTATACTTAAACATCATCATAAATATAATCTAAGATATTTAAATAAAAATGACTCCATTTTTCCATCATCAGTACTGAAAAGTATGCGCAGAAAATATATATACTCTTACTTGAACAAATACTTTGCCCAAACGATGCAATGAATAGGTTCTGAAGGTGTATTACGAATTGTACAGCCGGGAAAAGTTCTCTGGGTTGGCTTAGGATGACATTCATAACACTCGGTCACACCCTACAAAATCAGGACATGAGAAAAGTATTTATTTCATCATGGTTGTTACTCAACATTATAACTATAAGATAATATAATTATAAACACTTCATTCATTCATCTACATTCCAACTGGGTTTTATGTTGTCAAGGAAATTGAATCCTTACTTTATAGACAAACTCTAACACAAAAACTAACTGAATCAAGCAGTCACAGGTAGGGCTGTGCCAGGACTCCTCAGACTGCTGGCCCAGTGAACATTACTTATAAGCCAAATAAAAGTCACTGCACCCAAGTGTCAAATATGAGACGTTTACCTTGACTGCACTAAACAGAAAGAAAAGCTACTAGAAAGATAAACAATAGCTTTCCAACCAATTATTTCTTAAAGTTGTAAATCTGTTATTTAAATATTATTCATAGCCATATACTTATAATCTATACATGAAGTGAGTTAAAAGTAATCAATTTCAAGATATATCAAGTCTATGGCACCTATGACAATTTTTCAAAACTATCATCTTTCTTTACCTCAACAATTCTCAACCTCAGTCTTAATACACACTGGTGACTCAGGATAGGATCACAGTAACGAGATATATCAAAAGCAATGTCCTTCTAACAAATGTTAAAGAACCAAAACCCATAAATATTGTCTTAATATAAATTGCAGCAGGTTCACTGTTCTCTATAATACCATTTCTTCTGCCCTTAGCCTTCCAATGCTTTCTTGTAGGTAGCCACATGGCAAGCACTTATCTCTCACATTAACAGTGCAAAAAAAGTACTGCCTTGATCTGTTAACAGATACTGAAAGTCTCCATTTATTCAACTAAATTTAACACACATTGATGTGTACAACAGTCTTTTTAGAATGATAGTGAATAAGCTTCTAAGGATAATATTTAACAGTTAAAACAAATAAAGCCATAATTTTCAACATGGATAAATGCCAAAAAAAAACCAGACAAAAACCTGGCAAATGTTAAATACAGTATAATTCCCTTTTCCATACTTTCAAAACCTATAAAACATTTCTTCGAATGTATCCATAATGTTTAATTTCTTAAAAGAAGTAAAAGAAAATATTTGAAAAACAAATGAATCACAATGTTGAGATTTTAAAACTGGGTTGTGGGCACATAGGCACTTGCTCTATTATTCTCTAGTGTCTCAGTGTCTGAAATATTTCACAAGTACACCCCCAAAAAAGTTTTCAAAGTTCTCTTCAGATATATAAATTCAGACTCCTTTACACAGAAAGTAACTTTTAGATGACTGGTTTATCATGTATCAACTACAGCATGACATGTAGTCATAGCTACCAAGAATTCTTAAAGGCAAGTTTATTATGCTTACCAGTCTAAGGACTTTAGTACACAGACTAAATGAAACACAGTGGCAAGGCCGGGCGCGGTGGCTCACGCCTGTAATCCTAGCTCTCTGGGAGGCCGAGGCGGGCGGATTGTTTGAGCTCAGGAGTTCGAAACCAGCCTGAGCAAGAGCGAGACCCCGTCTCTACTAAAATTCGAAAGAAATTAATTGGACAACTAAAAATATATGGAAAAAACTAGCCGGGCATGGTGGCGCATGTCTGTAGTCCCAGCTACTCGGGAGGCTGAGGCAGGAGGATCGCTTGAGCCCAGGAGTTTGAGGTTGCTGTGAGCTAGGATGATGCCACGGCACGCTAGCCTGGGTAACACAGTGAGACTCAGTCTCAAAAAACAAAACAAAACAAAACAAAAAAACTGTCCAGATAAGTAACTATAAACTATGATAAACAACACATAGGAAAAGTAAAAACTGTTATGAGAGGAGACCTGACTTAGTCTAAAAGGTTTAGGAAAGCACCCCTGGAGAAAGAAACCAACATGAAAAATGAAAAAGAGAAACAAGTGGGAGTTTGCCAAAGAGCTGGGAGAGAAGCATAGGGAAGAGATGTTTTAAGACCCTGAATTATGAAGGAACATTTAAGAAACCAGAGAAGGTCAGAGTGGCTAGAGCCCCAGGGGAGCCTGTCCTGCTTTAAATAGGACAACAGATTCTTTTGCCCCCAAACAAGGGTGTAGAAACACAGGGCGCACCCTAAGTAAATGATCAGATTTAAATATGAAAAGGACATGAAAGTCACATCAATTAAAGGATTATTTTCTTTTTAGACCAAAAAAGGGAGCCTTAGTCTTTATGCTAAGACTTTTACATGACAAATCTTTTTATTCTTCAAAATCCCTCAGCGAAAGAGTCCGCTTCACCCTTTTTCTCCAGCCTACATACAGGAGAGGCAGAATTAATCTGGTATCACAAACAGAAGATCCATCAAAGGATTATAGAAATGGTAAGAGAAATATAGTTACCTGTGCCTTTGACCTTCCAACATGTTTCTTTTGAAACAGAAACTGTCTGTTGAGGTTGCTGACATCAATAGTATCCAGATCAATCTACAAATGCAGAAATCCCAGATAAATCATAAATGCCCGGGTACGTGTGAGCAATGTCACTATCCTCAGCATCTATAACTCAGAACTTTTGTATTTGCTACCTTAGTAGAAAAAATGCTTTTAGAACCAGTCATACTAAAACTGTTAAACTGATAAAAATAACTTAATGCATACAAGAATGAAGATTTAATGTCAGACAACCTTCTTTCTCAAAAACACTTTGAAAGGATGGCATTATTTTTGTTTTGTTTAATCATCCTGGCAAATGTTTCAGGAAATTCCTCTGATGGCATCAAAATAGATGTGAATTTTTTGAAAATATATGTGAAGTGAGCACTATTGAAAATAGAGAAAATCTATTAATCTAATTACTCTTTCAAATCCAACAGATTAAATTTTACTGTGCCCTGTTCCCTAAAAATACACAGCAAAACAGATTTACTGAATTTCTCTTGTCTTCATCCACACATGATTTCATTTACAATTATTACCTGAGGACTGCGGAAGTTTCTACACATTATTTTAAAAAGTGTCATGTTTTAAGTTGTATCTAACTGCTACT